TTCCCTACCTCTTGCTTTGTTTATGTTGATGTCAAAAAATCTCCGTATGTCTAGAATTGCCCCCCCTGCTCCCAGTATCTGAAGTCCTGGGTAACGTGGAAGCCATTTAGCAATGCTTTATCATTCAGAATAAAAGTTTATTAACAGGTAGAAAGAGATACTTCTCTGAGATCCCAAAACCTTCCCCAGATCTGTGGCAAGAAAACTATTATCTTTGCAGAAGATCTGTCACCAGGCCAACCCCATTTCCAACCACTTCGGGGAGAAATTGGAGGTTTAGGGTAGAACATCCATTTCTTCTCCATCCATCCACCTATCATCAATTGACAAATGGTAAATTCCAAAGGAGAGAGCACTGACCTACTTAAATAAACTGCTTTCGCTGGAGAGGACGAGTTAAAGGCAAGCAGCCTTTGTGGCAAACAAGTAACCGGCCATCCCAGCATCTGAGCCAAAAGGGTGCAGGCTGATTGATGTCAGCCCAAACTACAAAATCTTGAACAAAGCAGCCTTTTTGGTGGGCAAATTCTATCCCACACACCAAACCTGTGAAAAGTAGCCAATATAGATCCCAGCGTGGTGTCTTACAGCAGTGGTCGCCTTCAGGGTGCTCCTTTGTCTCTAGCAATAGCCATACACTACGGTGGTGGCTTTTTCTGTTTTCTTCCCATGGATAGCAGCCTGTTGGTGCCTTCAGACTGTGTGCGATCTGTTGCTTTGCTGTCTACCAGGACACTTTGAAAACAGTCTGCATCTTCACTGCTAAAAATAGTTCTTCTTGAATTAACCCAATAGAGAAATACTCCAATATTACTGTCAGATATACTGGGGCAGGTCATTCATGAATGCAGTAATGACCTTGCCTAGTTGTCTCAAGAGTAAAAACCAAAACAATCCCATATCCCTCCCCAAAGTTTTTGTCTCCCTTAGGACTTTACACCAGGATAAGTACCACATAATGCTTCCCCATATTAGAAAGTTATTTCTTATGTACTCTGCACACATAGGGAAGAGCTGCTCTCGATATTGCTAGATGGTTCTTGTAATCCAACTGTAAGTGTAGTTACAACTCTGCAACCAACAGTTGATGGGGAAACCAGGTAGAATAAAACACAGAAGCTCTGTCTGGAGTTGAGCTCTTTCAAGAAATGACTAGGTTGTGTCTACTGGCCCCCTACTTTGCAAGGCCTCCCTTTAAGTCCTTTGTAAGCCAGTTAATGAAATAGCAAACTTCACTCTGAAGTCAGACCAAATTCCCACCAAATTTACTGTTGAGGTAACAACCGTGTTTTGCTCTAGTTTCCTATTAACATTTTTAGTTAGATGGCAGAGATGCAATTCTGGAGGTTGGGACCAGTGGTCTGAGCAGGCCATACATTATGTTTAGAATGCTGTTAAATGTCATAGCCACTCATTTACCAGGACTTTAACATTCAACTTGATTTTAAGTGTAGGTTGGTAACCTTCACTTATTTGAGTACTACTGATTTTGCATTTGTATTGTATTTAATTCATCATGAGAGGGCAAGAAGGCAGAAACAAGGTATTGAGGGGGTTTTTTTTTGCAATTAACACTAAAATGGCAATATTTAATTTTCACAATAAAGTGACTACTGATTTACCTCTTTGTAGAGTTGCTTATCTGTGCTGTGATTAAGTATGTGAAAACATTTGTGTTTAATGTATTGATACTCTACAGTTTTCAAATAATTTCTGGAAATGTTTCACTACATGTCCTCATTGTACAGGCATATTTGATTTAACTAGAGGACTTGTTCAGTGTGAATCTGACAAGATCTAATCAACAAATGATGTTGGTAGGGTGTAAGTCTGCATTTTCATAGGACTTCAGAGAGTGGCAATTGCTTTCTGTGAAAGATCCAGCATATTTTTTTTTTCTAATATCTAAGTGTCTCTGTGTACCTTGGGATGGCCAAGACCAGTACTACCAAGAATAAAGTACCTGGTATTTGTCTTTAGCTGTGTTTTTCTCTGCACTCTCATTATATCATGGAGGGAAAAGACATAGCCACGGGGATGCTACTGTTTAAGCCTCGTCAGAGAGAATGTGTGCGTGTGCCGTGTGTATGTGAACTTTCTGCTTGTAGCTCCAGATACTAGATCAAATTATAGTTCTGCTTTTTTGTTTTGCCACCTTCTTGCTAGATGCAAAAAACTTGTATTGGCCCATATTGTAGGCAGCTGAAAGGCTGAAGAGCAGTTTTCTATAATCAGATGAAGCAGAGGTCACAAAGATAATGAATGCCTGGCAGAAAGACAAGGTTTGGTGCCATAGCACCAGGAGACAAGAAGATAATCCCATGTACCTTGTCCACAGATGATCAAATAGTCAAGTAGAATTCCTTGCAGTTCAACCTGTTCCCCAGCTTTCAATCAGTGGAACTCAGGCAAGTTAACTCCATGTCCACCATTCATCTACAGTCACCTTTGTGAGAAAGACGGCGTTTAAAAATGATGCCACCTTTTGAAAGTGTAAATGAAGAAATTCTGAAATGGTTCATAATCTTTTAAATGAGTTATCAGTAGCATATTCACCAGCTGTTAGAGTTTTAAGGAAGGAAACCAGTTATTTGTGAAGATGGTCTGTATGTATTAAAATTCTGGTTACTAATACCAGTTACAATTTTTTTTTTTTTTAAACAAGGTTTAGTTTGGAGAATTAACTGGGAAGACGTGCTTAAGAACAGACTTTAGGGCTGGGTCCTGTACATGGGTGCAAGCAGGCTGCTGGTGTAACAGGTGAGCGGGTGGAAGGGGATGGTCACCTGAGAGAGGTTATAACCTCTCCTGCCTACGCTGCGATGCTGCGGGGCCCCTGCCAGCGAGGTGTGGGTGCCCTGCCACCTTGCACCAGGCGGTTTATACAACAGTAGAAACATCAGTGACCAAAGCTGCTGCTACCAATCAAGAAAGGAAGCGTGCAGGAGAAACCATGGTAAGAAAAGAATCAGATTATTTTATGAGATAATGAGTTTGGCTGCCTGTTTCCCCCTACTCTGGTCAAGATCTGAGTGAAGGTGGGAAGGTTGAAGTGACTTTTTTTGCTTCATTTTGCGGGCAACAAACGTTGCTCACAGTGTACAAACAAACTGTTGTATTAGCTTCTTGGTAAATACATTTAGGGTCCAATATGTACAGCTACATTTGTGTTAATAAATTTATTATAAGGGAAGTCATGCAGAAAAAGAAGGATGGGGTTGGAACTTAATTTTCCTTTTTGGGTAGAAGCTACTCTGGATGTACTTTGAATACAGTATGTTTAACCCTGTATTAATGGCCTTTTCCTACTAGCTTCCTAATTAAGAGCAAAGAAATGTGGACATTTCCCTAGATACTCTGTAAGACTGGATGGAAATCATCTGCCAAAAGACTGATATTCAAATATACCATGCCCAACAAGAGTGGTTTTTGAGAGAACCCTTTAAATTCACAGTACTTGGGAGTCTGCATAGCAATCTACAGAAGGAGACATACTTCTTTTAGAATATGATACTATATTTTGTGTTTCAGATTTCTGTTATTAAACTGTGTGCATGACATAGTATTAAACACTTTAGAAATTGGTTATTGACTGAACAGCTATGATTACAGTATGAGAAGGATTTCTCAGGGGATCAACTTAGTCTAACATGTAAAGAGTACAAAGTCCTCTTGAGTACCAAGTTAACTCTTCACATGTTAAATTGAATTAAAAGTACCCAGAGAATAGGCTGAAACAATCAGTGGTTGAAATTAATTAAGGTACTAAAGGCGCTTTAATTCTAGTTCCTTTAATTTCTACAAACCTGTTTTCCACCTGTCCAACACACACGTTCAACAGAAAGCTGAGAGATGAGAAGATGCTTCATTCCCTTTGCTTTATCTATATATCAATAAGGCAGCGTAGCTGCGTCTTGTCCCGGATAACTGGACTTGGCTCATATTCCTTAGCTGGGACCTACTGTTGTTTATTTTGTGTACCTATACACAGTTTTTCTATCTGTATGGACTTATGTGCACTTACACA